CCACAGGAGATCTACTCAAGTTCAATAGTTCACTATGCCTGTGGCAGTCACTGCTAACTGAGGGAGACTTACACTGAAACCATCACAGCTCCTGTACTGGTAGCCAAAGAAATCTTAAATCTCTGAACTTTCCAAATTCTTACCCATGCTTCAGCTTTCATCAAAGGACATGCTGAGAGAGTGATAAGAATTTCAGGGAAGACTGGCAAAGAGCACTGAAATTTTCCTTTGTGGGGTGGACAAAGAGTTGCTAAAAGAAAAAGTGAATAGAGAAATTTGGCATAACAGAGTTGAACAGGGGAAAGCACATACAAGGCCAGGGAGAAATATCTATGTAGGTGTATGTTGGCTCTATATAAAGAAGGAACCTAGGGTTCATGAATATATTGCTAAGGTTATTCATATACTGGCTGGATATTTGTACAAAATTGTTCCCAGAGACCCATTTCAACCTTACACCCTATAAATCCTGAAGTGGGGCAGAGTGTCTCTGAGAGAGGGAAATGACAAGAACATGGGGCTTAGAGTGTATATGGAAAGAAAGCTGTGAATTTTTGTTTTTGAGCCCACAAAATATGTGGAAATTTGTTGGTGGTGAGAAGAAAGAAAAAGTGAAATCATGGCCACATATTAGTCTTGGAAGAACACACTTGTGTTTAGTGACAAAGCAAGATTCCAGGCATGAGGGAAACTGACATTGGCCATGGTTCTGAATGGGAGTTGGGTAGCCAGGAACCTGGAGGCCCACCCGGAACTCTATTCATTGTAGGTATCTGTTACCTCTTGCCGCCTCCACAGCTCCTGGGAAACATGCTCTTGAATGCTTTGACAGACCATTTTGGAGAGGAATTCACCCCCTCAGGCGCAGGCTGCCTGGCAGGAGATGGTGACTGGAGCAGCTAAGGCCCTGGCCCAGCTAAGGCCCTGGCCCACCGAGATCTGGTAGCGTAAAGTCACCAGGAACAGCTTTGATTTTCAAACAATAGCAATGGCAGTGGTGGTATTAACAACAGTAGCAATAATAATAAGGGTAATAATAGTATTCAGCTAAAGAATTCTTCAGTAATTGCCTTCAGTTCTACTTTTCCATTGTTTCTATACTCGTGAGAACCCCAGGAATTATATGTTGAACTGTTTGTGCATGTGTGTGTGTTTACACAATTTCCCCATTCAATTTTTGTATGAAGTAAAGATTTTGGCAAGAAAATAAAAAAACAACAGGACAATGAAAAGCATGTGTGCCTGGGACATATGCCTGGAGAGAACATACACTTGTGGGCTCTTCAGGTTAAAGCTGAAGACATGGGGGGATGTCAAGAGAGAGGATGGTGTCATTGGACAAGAAGTCCTCCAAACCAGATGATTATATGGGCCTTGGTGAAGAATCCAGAGAAGACCTCTCAATGGAGGTCGAGTACAAGTGTGGGGATTCTTCAGAGGAAAATTAACCCATGTCTTAAAAAGGCAAGGTCTAGGCAAGGACTGTAATTCTATTCTCCTGATAAGAGGGAAGAATTTTCTAAAAGCTGCTTGTTTGTCACAAGCCCTTGTGAGGATAGATTAGGGGTGGGAGGGGTTGGAGGTCCAAGCAAGGGATGACTCTTTTTGAAATCAACTCCAAAGAACTAGCCTTGGGCTTTATGGAAGAATTTTATGGTTTAAGTGGTCAGAGCTTCTGAGGAATGCTTACATGCCATCAGGAGAGACCATGTCCCAGAGGGCAGATTTGCTGCAGTATTTAGAGAATGGGCATCCCTATAAAGTGCTCAGAGAGGAGGGGATTTAGGTGGGGAAGATGAACGAGGAGAGGCTGAGAAGGCAGCCCAGTGCAGCAGATGAACTCTACAAGATCAAAAGGAAAATGAAAGAAATTGCATAGAACAGTTGGGGAGGATAGATCACAGGAATATTGGTAGGGCTGGAAGTTAACTCGGGATTATAAGCAAGGCTATAATGTGTTGAACAGGGCAGTTAGAAGATTAGCCTGGCTGTGGGTGTTGAGTAGATTAGGATCATGCTGATGCCACATTTACAAATCTCTACTGGTTGCCCATGCCTTAGTGTAAACACATTCTACCCTCATGTGACCAAACAGTGAGGCCCCAGGCCAATCTCTCCAACTCTGTTCCCTCCTACTCTTCTTCTTAACATCTCTCTTGGACCATGTCATGACTTTCTCTGAAGGAAATGTCAGATTTGTTTTTTCTTTCTTTCTTTTTCCTTTTCTCTCCAGCCTCTAGTTTTGCACCTGCCCTTCCCTGCTTCTGGGAACTTATTTCATCAAATGACTTATGCCTGGCTTCATCTTGTTTTTAAGGTCTCTCTTCAAATGTAACTTCCTTTAGGAACTCTATTCTTATATATATTTTTTTTTCCTCTAGTCCCTTGCTACCATATCATCAGATGCATTTTTTTCTTGTCATGTAACACCCATCTGAGATTCTCTTCTTCATCGATTTAATTGTTAGTGTTGGTCACCCCAGCCCCTAGAACGTGAGCATGACAACACTATATATGCTGTTTTGTTTTTCCAAGATTCCCAGTTTTTAGAACAATGCATGGCATGATTGGCCTCAGTAGATATTCATTTTCTTATTTTTTTACCTTTTTTTTTTTTTTCTTTTTGAGAGGGAGAGAGAGCTGATGAGCCTGGGAGGAGAAGCAGTGGAAGAGGGAGAAGAAGGCTCCAAGCTGAGTAGAAAGCCTGACGTATGGCTCAATCCCAGGACCCTGGGATCATGACCTGAGCCAAAGGCAGACAGTTAACCAACTGAGCCACCCACGTGCCCCGATATGGGTTTTTAAAATATGTGATGAATGACTGTTAAACTGTTAGATGACCATGATGATGAGCTAGCACTGATGTGATAAGTCTCCAGACAACAGTTGGAACAGTGAGCATGGAGGTCAAGTGTGGAACAGCCATGAAGGAGAGGAATCAAAAAGTCTTGAAAAGTAATTGTCTAAAGAAGATGAGAGAAAGGCAGGAGTGGAGGTAATTGTCGCAATCACTATCTGGTTTGCTGGGAAGATGGAAGGCTGTTTGCCAACATTCAAGTTGCAAATGTCCCTGACTCTGAGGGGTTGCAGTGTGAACACACCAGGGAGACGAGCACCAGCGCCGTCAGAGAGTATGGACCCTGAGCCATTCCCTCAGACCATGCCCACAGCTGAAAGGAAGTGGGATTGCTGGCTGTGGTCAAAGTTTCCTCGCTTTTCTTTCCTTTCATTGACTTATTCTCTTGAAGAAATCTTTTGGGGATTGATTCACACTTTTTTTTTAAAGATTTTATTTATTTTTTTGACAGAGATCACAAGTAGGCAGAGAGGCAGGCAGAGAGAGAGGAGGAAACAGGCTTCCTACTGAGCATAGAGCCTGATGCGGGGCTCCATCCCAGGACCCTGAGACCATGACCTGAGCCAAAGGCGAGGCTTTAACCCACTGAGCCACCCAGGCACCCCCCGCTTTTTTTTTTCTTTTTTAATATTTCTGTACCAAGTGTTCACATCATCACAGCTTGGGTCTGAGATCTCACTGATCATCAAGTCTGTCATGATAAACTAGATTCTGGCACCTTAGCAATTCTTATCCATATTTTATTTTTTTTTTTGTTTTATTTTGTTTTTCTCCATTTTATTCTTTTGATCATTCTGCTACTATTAAAAGATATTTTTCAAAGACATTTTTCCAAATGCTGTAATTCAATTAGCTCTTTATGAATGACAGAAGTTGTGATAATAAAAATTCTGCATCTTAGAGGCACCACAGTAAACTACCAAGCATAGTAATGGCAGAACAATCCACATTTTAAATATAAGTTTTTTCCAAGATGAATTGATAAAAGTTTTCACTATCTCAAAAGATTTCTTTTCTAATAACAGAAATTCAACATTAATTTATTGAGTTGAACTCTTTAAATTTTAGTGTACCTTTGTAAATATGCAGGGAGATTATTTCTTAAACTGTTTTTCTTTTCTTTCTTTCTTTCTTTTTTTCTTTTTCTTTTTTTTTTTTTGTGAGATTGGTGAGAAACAAATCAACCAGCTGCCTGGAGCTCAAAATGTGAGAGTAATAAACTCTGAAAGAAAAAGATAAGATAAAGTAAGTCATTCCCTCTCTCCCCAGAAGTGTATCTTGTTTAGACCAATGAACGCTTGTTTGAGATGCACAATACCAAAGTACCTTAAGTGACAGGGGCAGTCGTGTGTGGAATTCTATCAGTGAAGATTGCCTCTGCCTCATTACATATGGGGAATAGTTAAGCACAAGGCAGTGGATCCAGCAAATGCCAAAGACAGCTGTCTTAATCAATCACTATTGCCATAGAGCCCAATATTCTCTCCATTGAACACACAATTTTTCCCAATACTTAATTGTGCACTTTCTGACACAAGGAGTGGATACATGGTATTGGCCAGACACAGTGCTATATAGTCAGAGTGGAAAAAAAGGTACTCAAACAAGTACATGTATTTTAATAGAACTCAGCCATAATCGTATAATACTAGTTCTCTAAATTACCCAGTTTTTACCTGCCCTGTTTCAGAACTGATGCTACATTGGAGTCTTTCTTCTTACAAGAACTATAAAAGCATGAGCTCCATCTGTTTTAGAAAAAATGGTGACCAGGAAAAGCTGTGGCTTCTTTTATATCCAAGATGAATGACTGAATGATATCTTGTAAACATCTGACACAATGCCCAACAGATTTATAATTTTTACTCCTCTTAATTCTAGTCATGCCTCATGGTCAGCCCACAAGGTCACCTCAGGGATAATGGGGTGGGGAGCTTGAGATAGGAGATGCCTAGTAAACGGGGAAAGGACAGCAGAATCCCCCTGATAGAGCCTTCCAACGCTATCAGAGACCCAGATGTCCATCCTGCTGACCCTCCCTTGTCCAAACCCCACCCCTGGTGGTGACAACCCGCAGTTGACCAATGGTCTTATTTCATTGGGAGAAGCAAGGGCTTGGAAACAAGAAATGAGGAATAAAAGGCACACAGAGAAGTAGCACCACAGACTCACTTCTGGCACATTACTGGTCACCAGTAAGCTCCCAGACACCATGGTGCACTTTACTGCTGAGGAGAAGGCTGCTGTTGTTAGCTTGTGGGCCAGGGTGAATGTGGAGTTGGTTGGAGGCGAGGTGCTGGGAAGGTAGGCACTAGAGGGGAAAAGAAAGGCAGAAAGTATTCCTGGAGGGGTATTGGTCAGTTTTCTTACCTACTCTGACTTCCCATCTCGTTTGTGACTGTGAACATCCCATAGGCTCCTGGTTGTTTATCCATGGACCCAGAGGTTCTTCGACAGTTTTGGCAACTTGTCCTCTGAGTCTGCAATAATGGGCAACCCCAAGGTCAAGGCCCATGGCAAGAAGGTGCTGACCTCCTTTGGAAAGGCTGTTAAACATATGGATGACCTCAAGGACACCTTTGCTGAGCTGAGTGAACTGCACTGTGACAAGCTGCATGTGGATCCTGAGAACTTCAAGGTGAGGTCTGGGCATGCCTACGCTTTGTTCTTTCATCCTAGATATTTACAGTGTAGATATGTTAGAAAACACAGATAGTTAAGTCTGATCCCATAAAAGCATTTCTTTGGGACATTATATTTCAAGGAAAGGCTTGATTTTGGTAGTTAGGTTGTTCCAAAGATCATAGGTAAGGCCAAGCAGGGTGATTACTGTGACCAGTGGAGGCCACTGGTCATCTTACATTTCTGTAAAAATACATCTGTGAAGAACACTGGCCAAGATTGAGTTAAATGTTTTTGGCTGGGAGAATACAATTACAGCAAGAATATCTTACTTTTGTTAACTGAAGTTTTCTCTAAAAATGATGAATACATTTCTGAATGATTCTTGAGTTTAGAACCAGGACTAAGCAAGACAAAATAAGATTAATCTTTTCAATGGACAATTCTGTCCCCTGCCCCTTTTAGCAGTGATCAAATGCTCTTGTATACATGGTTCAAGATTCTTTGTCATGGGAGGGTCCAAACAATTTGAATGAATATATTTTCTGGGGACTAAGACTATCTATAGTAAGGCCCCTTATAGTCCTCTAATCCTACTTTTAAAAAAGACAGAGTTTCTAGAAAAGAGAAGCCATCCATGGCAATGTTTTGGGCTCAGAAGTTGACAGGGCAAATGACAGAAAGATAGAGCACGATGGGTGGTACAGGGCTGGGAGTCATATTGATGCCAATGTCCGGAATATCATGGTATACATTTGTGGGATCAGGGTCCTGAAAGTTGCTCAGTCTCTTATCAGGAAGGAAATCAATGTGGCCAGCTTGAAGCTTTCTGTTCACTAGGCACTATTTTCTTTTTATCCTACTCTTTCCCCAGCTTCTAGGCAACATGATACTGATTGTCTTGGCAACACACTTCAGCAAGGAGTTTACCCCCCAGATGCAGGCTGCTTGGCAGAAACTGACAACAGCTGTGGCTAACGCTCTTGCCCACAAGTACCACTGAAGCACCAATGCAACTATTTCAGTGTCTGCTGGAGGGCTTGAGTTCCCAGAGTCTGTCTCCCAAAGACGGGCACAGTGCCCTGCCTCCAGACTTACCTGCTATATGATAAAAATAAAATAAAAATTGTGCTCTGTAATGAATTTGTCTTCTCTCTCTGTCTTTACCTTTTATGTTGATGCAACAAAAGAAAACACTTCTTTAGGGAAGGGGGTTATTTGGGGAAATAGAAGATTCTGCAAGATTTGAGTGGCTTCAAGGGGCAGTTACTTCTAGGAAGGGAAAGTAGACTTGAGCTGAATAGTGTCTTCAGAACAAGCATGGAGGTACTCTTGGGAAATGCAAGAAGATGGTTGATATAGTGAGTAGTGGCACATTAGAACTTCAAGTAGGGGACCTGCCTACGCCTCTATTTTTATAATCTCGGAGTTTTTGATGTTGTATTTCACTTATATTAAATAATATAAGAAACACATTTTTATTAGCTGTAAGAGAGTGGTGAGGGAGCTTTCCAGAGACCCAGGCAAGGACCATGCTCTAAACTTTCCCTAGTGTCTTCAGTGGTATTAATGGAGGAACTATCCCTAAAGCATAGGAACTAACTGCCTTGCTTTGAAACTGTACCTTATCTGCTAGCTCTGTGACCTGGAACATATTTCCAATTCCATTAAATCTTTGGTGGAGATAAAAGGTCATTTATGTGGGAAATGACAAATTTAGGAATTAGCATGCTGGGTCAAAGTGAAAGGAGAGAAATTAGGCCCTTAAAAGCCATGCATGGGTGGCTCAGTCTGTCAAGCATCTGCCTTTAGCTCAGGTCAGGATACCAAGGTCCTGGCATCCAGTCCTGCATTGGCTCCTTGCTCATCAGGAAGCCTGCCCCTCCCCCTGATTGTGTGCTCTCTCTCTGACATATAAATATAACCTTAAAAAAAAAAAAAGCAGTACAGTGGTATAGAATTAGGGACACCACTGCCCGGAAAAGCAGGAAAAGAAGCTATTATAAGCAAAGTACCAGTGAAATTTCTTGCACACAAGAGTAACATAGTGAATAGCGAATTTTAGGGGAACTGACCCACATGTGGATGTAGAACTGACAAGGTAGGATCTAGCTTGCATCTAGCCACAAGAATGTACTGAGATTATAATGAGATCAAAGGACTAAACTTCACAGAAGCACTGATACTAAGAACAACTCAAATAAGGGGCTATTGTGACCAAGATACCACTGGACTTAGAACTGAGTGCAGTAGAGAGTGGTGAGATCACTGATGAGAGCCAGGATCCCTGTCTCATGAATGAGAAGAGGAAAGTCTATTTTCACAACAGAAAACACCTAAAGGTCTCTTGTGGGGAGCTGGCGACTATGCACATCCACTTTTGTGGCCATCACTTCAAAGTCTGCACCTGAGTCCCTGGCGTAGAAGTGAAAAGTCAAGGCCTTGGGATTAGCAGTAAAATATGAAACCAGCCCCCATCACCTTGAAAAGTTTGGTTAACATTTTCCAGAATGAATTTCCTATTTGTAAAATGGAATAAAAATCCCTACCTCACAAGTATGTTCCAAGGTTTTAAGGAGATCACTGTGAAGTGCTTTGTCTGTCATTATTGTATTTATAGTGTATTTATACAATACACTCTGTCTGTTCCTCTGTGCTCTGTTCCACTGTGTATTCTAGACCTGACTGTATTCTTTATGAGTTCCAGACCCATATTTCTAACTATGTGATGTCCATATTTGATTGCTGAAGAGTGCATCAAATACAGTATGTTCAAAAAACCTCCAGCTGTTTCCTAATCTATCCCTGCTAATCTGTATCCCAGCTGGGGAATAACGCATCATCCATTGCTTGAGCCTGAAAATAGAAACTTTTTTTTACCATCCCACCACGATTATAATATCATGTTATTTGTTCTCCCATTTATTTTGCCCCTTAAATCTATTAATATATGGAAGCCATAATAATTTAAAAAAAAATACAAATCAAATCATGTCACCCACATCCTTGCAGTTTTCTATAGTTTTTCTTGGCTTTCAGGTTAAAGACAGATCATGTATAACAGTTTTAAGATCATTCATGGCTCTTCTGCACCTTTCTATCATATAACACTCCTCCTTGTGAGCTGAATTACAGTTACATTTCCTGATTTTTGCATATAAATCATATACACTGAATCATTGACTCTGGTTACATTTTTTTGGTTGTTGTTTAAAGAGAGAGTGAGAGAGAGTGCCTGTGCCTGCAGATTGGCGAGCAGCAGGAGGGGGGCTGGGGGGAGGTAGAGAGAGAATCCCAAGCAGGCTCCGTGCTCAGCACAGAGCCCACAATGGGGCTTGATCTTACAACCATCATGAGCTGAGCCAAAACCAAGAATTGGTTTGACTGAGCCATCCAGGAACCCCTGTAATTACTTTTAACCTATGTTATGTTGTACAATTCATCTGTATTTCTGCAAGTGAAGCAGTAGTTGATTCTTTTCATTGTGTAATATTTCATTCTTTCTCTATATCACAATTTATCTGTTCCACTGAATGAAGACCATTTAAGTTGCTAGAAGCTTGGGATCCTCATGCACACTGTTGTTACAGTCTTTGGACTCAAACAAGCATGCATTTCTGAATTTCTAGAAGAATAATCGCTAGCTTATTGGTTTTGCATATTCTGCTTTAGTAGCTACTACAAAATATTTTCTAAAGCAGTTATACCATTTTACACTGTCACCGGCAAAGCCTGAGAGTTTTCTTGGTCTATATCCTCATAAATTTTGAAATTGCTTATCTTTCCCTTCCTCTTCTTTATATTTTTTGCCTTCTGACTTCCATCCCATTTCATTCTCTTTCTTTCTGTTGGTGAGTCCCTCTCACCCTTCCTCCCTCCCTTTTTTCCTCTCTCCTTCCCTCCCTTTCTACCTCACTCCTTCCATCTAGCTGTACTAGAGAACATGTATCTGTAGATCAATTAATATTATTTTGAATTCAGAAAAGACAAAATTCCCTTTGAATCTTCACTTCTAGGTCTAACTCTACATTATTCCTGACGACACAGTTGGAAATTTCTGCACCTGCATTTTCCCAGAAACCCTGTCCGACTTAACCTGGTTAAAAATGATAAAGCTTCATTGCAAATCTTCTGCATTCTTTCTTTGGTCATATCACAGTTTTAAAATATCATGTTCTGATACTTTTTTCTTTCTCTCTCATTACATTGTTTCCATTAAATCCATGTTTCCCTGATCTATTTCAGTGGATGGTAGAGAAAAACATTCATTAATTTTTCATTCTTTAAATGGACATTTATTTCAGGGAGGGAATGAAAAGAAAAAGTTTTGTTACTAGAAGCATTTATCCAAAGAAGGAAAAAGAAACCAAGTTAAAAGTATGGCAAAACATTTATTCATTCCAACCACTTACAAATATCTCTAGAGACAAAGTGAAGACCAACATAGAGTAAACTTGATAACATTTCTGTTCTCTAGGCCTTAGTTTTCTTATCTATGAAGTGGAAGAACTAGATGAGTTAAATGCTGAGACACATTCCACTATATCAGACTATAGCATTTGCACATGAATGAGAGTGGTAGAATACTTATGAAAGTCACTGCTGAAGGGGGATGAACTGGGGAGAGAAAGCAGGGATTCTGAGTCAAGACAGGATACCTAGAACGCCACCCTCAGGGCAACTAAAGGGAACTGAGGAATGAGGATGTAACCTACATTCTCACAAACCAATAAGATTCTGCTCTGTCCTGGGCCAATCTGCTCACAGCAGCAGGGAGGGCAGATCAGGGCTGGATATAAAAGGAAGAACAGGGCCAGCTGCTCCTTATACTTGCTTCTGACA